AACTCAAAGTCTTGGTTCTCCAGTCATTGAGCTTTTCATTACCAAATCCAAAAGTAAAAGGAATCCCGCCAGGTGAGCGAAGCCCTTCCACGTGATCCTATCTGAATCATTCACTTGCTGCCCGAATGCGAGTCATTCTTCGGGGTATCAACGCTTTTGGAAGTAGTTCCCTATCTCCAACTTTGCCAGTGAATTATCCAGCGACCGGAATGCTAGGCTATCAATGAACCCGCAAATCAAAAATAGCGGGAGTAATCTCTAAGTGATGTGTCCAGAACCTTAAACAGAAGATGTATAAAGAACATTGAGGCCTATAGACTCAACCCATGGTTCTTGAAGCATTGACCATCTGCCACCGTATCTTGTTGACTGGAAAAGAAGGGAATGATACCTAGAATCTCTTTATTGGAGTGAGATAGATACATGCACGAATGGATCTATCGATTAATATCATACATTAGCCCATCGGCTACCTAGAAGCTGGTCATATCGGGCAATGGCATCAGACACATGCAGTCTGGTTGATTCTCTCCCTTTGTATCAGCTAACTACATTAAAATTGGACCCAAGGGCATTATTGCGCAGGCGTCTAATGACCTAGCCCATCATTGAACTGGTTCTGTTGAAAACAACAATCATAAAATCCTTTTCTGTTCCGAACAAATGCTCTTAAATAAATCAAAACAGTAGTCTTACTCTTTAGAACACACTGAGCGGCCATATCTTCATTGCTTATGGGTGAGCTTGCAAGCAAGAAAACAGAATGCTTCCAAAAAGCCATCTTTCAACAACTGGGTAGCATTAGACCAAGTGAATCCTGGTACAATGATCAGGATGATATAGTAGGGTTCCTCGTTCAATAACGAGTAGACAAAGGGATACATAGTTACAAACTCAGTCCATTATCAAGGCTGGACAACTGGGACGTCTACGCGATAAGTCCCTCTCCTATTCCGCGGGCGCCCGCTGACAGTAATGAACAGTCACATTGCATACAGTGAGTAAGACATTTCTGTTGAGGCCAACTCAGTTCTCATATTGGCTAACTTTACTAGCCATATCGAGCTCTCAAGGTGATTATAAATATGCTTCAAAAAAGTTGGTGGATTTAGTTATTCTCTGTTATTTGCATTTGCCATGGCATGGTATAGTGAACTTCCATCGTCGACGAACTCCTTGTCTGTCTACCTTGTATATATAGTATCTCAAATAACCACTCTACCATGCTCAGCAAAGGAGATACGTCTCAGCTAATCCTACGGTATCCAAATATTCCTGGTTCTTGTTACTGCTTCGACTCATTAGTCTACAGAGTTTAGGTTGACTCGGCAGCTGTTATCCATGATCGGCTGATCTATGCACTTGATATAGACAATGAGCTCCGCTGTATCCCAAGTATACATGCGAAAAAGCCACGTCTTAGAGCGGCTCTTCACCTTGGCCGAAGCTTGAATAACAGCCACCATATTAAGCTTCAAGTACCCATCAGCCGGGCTTCATAGCATCTATTAGAGCAGTGGTTAGCTCATAGTCTACATTAACACAAACATATTATATGATTTAGATTTCAATGCACCTGAAACCCATGTTGGTCATTAGCTTCAGGCGCTACTTCAATCCTCGCATTACATCCTATGGATATATTACTAGCGGGAGGAGAAAGTTCATCCAAAGCTCACTTCAACCAACATCTAAAGTCCTCGGTAGAGTGCATGGCCAAGTCAACTGTTGCTATACTGTTTTCACGGTTGCAGAGCTACAAGTTGGCCTTGACGTGATGATGTCTTTTACACATTATACACTGAATAGAATAGTCTGTTCACATTGCTGCGTGAGTACTTAATTTGGGAGAGCTTTTAGGACTGGCTGGGAAATAAGGGCTGCCAGGAGCCAATCAATATACCGATTCATGCTACCACAGAAACTGTTGTCGCTGATGCTCAATTCCATTTTTATTCCCGGTCCGGTAACCACTTCAATAGTTCTAAGGTAAACTGGTATTGAAGATTATATGGTGTTTGAGTTGATTATTGGATGATCGGGAGCGGTAGACAACATCTTGGTTATTACGCGGATTTTGAATAACAAAAAGACCTATATGTAGTCGGTAAGTATAGTTAATCGAAGCCTACTGGGTTCCTTTAGAAGTATGAATGCCTACAGAAATCAGGGGCCGGTACTTTTAGTGGCCAGGGGATAGTTCTTACGGTCTCTTCGGAGATAACGTGGATAAAGTATTAGGCGCAGCTATTGAAGCCATTTAGCAACCATCGATCTGATAGGGTATAGTGCTGAGCATAAGTAAGTTAGCCTTCAATTTAGGTGTCTTGATTATACAATTTGGGTAAATTAAAGAGACTTACTACTATAGTATACAATGGAGAGCTTTCCTAGTATATTCACATGAAAGTTGCTATAATCTGAGCTTCTCTGGCGTCCACTTTAGTATTTCTTCATATAATAAAGGAAATTTGGTAATTGACAAGGTTTTCTGTTATATGATAGAATTTAAGCTCAACAGTTGTGGAGTTTCTGTTAGAGATTCCTCTAAATGAAGTTAGAGAACACATGTATTGTTATATGTTTCTCATCCTTATGGTTTTCCTGGTCACTTTACCTAACTTTTTCTGTTTGTTCTCCTCCATTTTTGGGGGAGGGGAAAAATCTCGTAGGCGCCTGTCGACACTGCGGAATAGTCACATTGCGCTTACCAGATAGTCATGCTTTTCCTTCAATATCATTGGAACGTGAGGCGTGATGCGCCGGGGCCGGCGATGTGACGAGAAGCAGCGACAGTCCAACGGCAGGTTCCGAACTACCGCCAGACCAACAGTAATCCCTACTGGCGTACTAAGAACATGCAGCTCGAAAGCACAGCCGAACAGGGGTCGGGCGCAACGACGGCCCCTCTCCAATTCTGTATCCTATCTGGCGATTCGGATACTCGTCTCCCCGCAGCACCACAATGGCGGGCGCTTTTCTCTCCACCGCAAGCAAGATCTAATGGTTACACTTAATTACTGCCTGCCTCCTTCATTACCATCACTTCTTCTGATATTTTTCTTATCCTCTGTTAACCCAACCTCTTTAATTTTGATGTCGTCCTATTCGATATGGATCCACGGCTCGCACATGTTTAATCCATATGTAGATGTAGATCTTTTCAGAAGACCGCTTGAGCGCGAAGGCACCGTGATCAGCTACACAAACCTCGTTCGTCACAGAAAATTTTCGAAAGGCCTCTTTACAAATTCGACTTGCACAAACCGACCCGATATTGTATACTAAGGCTCTCGGACTTCACAACAGCTTCCGTAACCGGAAACACATTGTCAAGATGCACAGACAGTTACGTTTGGATACCTCTGTGGGGGGCAATCAGCGATATTCCTTCATTGAGACACCACTGGAAATGCATGCTTCTGGATTACGGAATGGCCAACAGCAGCAAGAACCACCGCCGTCGCAATCATTAGCAGTGCCCAATTTTGATACTATACCGGCTCAGGCTGCAGCAGAGCAAGGACAACCACAACGCCTACCACCATTCAATGAGAAGGCACAATATGTGCGGCAAGAAGCAGTGGCTCCTGGTAACCCAGGTGGACCGAATTATGAAGAGCATTCTGCCATCTCTGCCCCGTTTGCCGACGTGGTGCCTCAGCCGGTCCAGCAATACGATGCAGTTGCGCCAGACTACTCATATGCGGTGCCGCCTCCAAATTCTCCAGGATCACTTCCGGCCAAAACCTTTCCAGAAACCCCAGCACAAGTAGCCCGGATACATACAACGGCCATCGCGCCGGACACAAATCCTCTACAGTCTCCACAAGTACCCTATTTCCCTGGGCCACCGACGGCCTCAGGCACATCTTACTCGCCATTGGCAGACGATGTTGCGGCCTATCATCGGCCAGGCCAGGTATCGCACCCTAATCAACATATAGTAGGTGGAACATGGAGTCATGACATGTGCGATTGTTCAAACATTTGGACCTGTTGCCTTGGGATTATGTGCCCTTGTGTTCTATATGGGAAAACGCAGTATCGTCTTTCGCAGATGTCAAGGAAAGAAGACCCCACAAACATGTTAGGCCATGAGACATGTAATGGGTCATGTACAGCGATGGCTCTCTTGTGTGGTTGTCAATGTGAGCACTACTATCCCACGATCTCGGCTACTGGATGCTAACGGTTCCTATAGGGCTCATGGCGACAATTCAACATAGACGAACCCGCAAAGCGTATGGTATTCGAGGAGACATTGCATCAGATTGTGTTAGAGCGACCTGTTGTACATGCTGCACCCTTATACAGGACGAAAAAGAGATAAAGAAACGTGAGGAAGAGCGTGCGAATGCAGCCAGGGCTACAGGAGCAACCCTCGTATCACCATACTTGACGCCTCCGCAGATGGCATACGGTCCTTTGTCGCGATAAGTGAAATAACCCTGATGTTGTAATTTTCGTGGGGCGTGGACGAGATGTTAACGTTCTAAATCGGGTACGGATGGCGGCCTCCGTCGAGACGCATTACCTATTTGCATTTGTGTTCATTCACCCTTTTCGCTAAATACCCAATACAGCGTTCTACTTATTGGAGTTTTATTTTCGACTTGTACAAGAGTTCGAACCAGATCTGCATTTAATGATTCATAACGATTCACATTTGTTTTGTGTCCAGGGGGGTCTTGGCGTTGCTTTTAAATGATTCCCTTGCATCCAGCGGTCAGTTTGCTTCGGTGTGGTGTTGGGCTCTGAGAGTCTGGTATTTTTGTGTATACAACCCTCAGACAGCTTGTATACAGAGGATGGACGATGCAATGTAGATTCAAGTTCTTAGGAAAGATTCAAAGAAACAAAGTTCTTGCACCAAAATGCGCGCAGAACGTGATCGGCTGATCATCGACGTCTTTGTTAGGCGGTGACGCCAATGGCCGAAATCTGGACCGCCGTGGCGGATCCTTATGGCGTTCAGCGTTACGGAGTTAACTCGTATAGAAAATGTACCACTCTCTGACCCCGACTTTCGCTCGTATCTATTATAGCCGGTTACTGCTTCAACAATTTATATCGCCTCGTTCGATTTATCTGCATATACAGCTTTGATTGTATTCGTGTACTTGACTCTTGTGCTCCTTGCCGTCGCGCCTTTTCTGTCCGATCCGATTTTCGGCATATAGTCACCAAACTTCTCGGTTGAGCACGCTGGACCAATGGAGGTTTGAGAGCTAATTTGAATGCTTCCTCTACTGGGAATGGTGAGAGTAATTCGGATGATTCTGTGGCATATAAGAGTGACTACAATCGCGTGGTCTATCTGCTCAGGTTGATCGTTCGACCATGGGGGATGACGTTCGTCTAGCCCCTCGCCAGATATGGGCACAACCGACAACATCTTCAACGAAGACTTACCAACCCGGATGTACTCCATTCGTGCTCCCCAGTGAAGGTATGCTGCAAATTAAGATGTGACTCTGCGCTATCTCACTCCCGGGCAAGAATTTGGTTGCCTGCGCTATAGGGTCTCATGAAATCTGGCTAATATGACCATCTGTGAACGTTTCTAGGTTACATTTATCTGAATCTCTCTTATTCGATAGCCCTATCAGAAAATGCCGTTTTTGAGCCAGTCTGCACGAGTACCGCGACCGCGTCGAGAGGTCCATCCCCAATGCTCGATACCCGTGACCCCTTTTACGCTTCGGTGACTCCCCAATTATATGCTATCGGCTGCGCAACAGTAGTTAGCTACCTTCTCGTCATTATTCTTCTTATAACGCCACGCACGTTTTATGTTGGTGGTCCTGGTGGTGGTGCCAACTTTCTAGGGCGCCATGGCATGATTAGTGGCTCATATAGCGGTAATTCCTCGGTGGTGGGAGTTGGTGGTCGGCCATGGCTGCAGAAAGTGGCTGCGCTGCTCGTTGCTATATCGTTGACAATTGCGACTGCCGATTCATTCAAGGTGGCCGAGGACCAGTATATACACGGCTACTCTGATGCCGATGCGCTTGCCTCGGAGGTCATCGACGGCATGGAAATCCGCGTTATCAGAGTCATATCGAGCACTTTTCTCTGGCTTGCGCAGGTTCAAACACTGATTCGACTATTCCCTCGACATAAAGAGAAGGTCATGATTAAATGGGCCGGTTTCGCCTTGATTGTGTTGGACACGATATTCAGTATCTTGGATAAATTCCTGGTCCAGAGCAACACTACAAGACCGCGATTATATGAAGATGCAATACCCGCGCTCAGTTATCTTTTCGAGCTTGCGCTTAATTTGCTCTATGCGGCATGGGTTATCTTCTACTCGCTATCCAAACATCGTTTCGCATTCTTTCACCCGAAGATGAGGAATATCTGCCTGGTGGCCCTCTTATCGTTATGTGCGGTTCTAATACCAGTTGTGTTTTTCGTTCTGGATATCGCAAAGCCTGAGGTCGCTGGCTGGGGTACATACATTAGGTGGGTTGGATCGGCGGCGGCTAGTGTGGTGGTTTGGGAATGGGTAGAACGCATTGAAGCATTAGAACGAGATGAAAGAAAGGATGGTATCCTCGGCAGGGAAATTTTCGATGGTGATGAAATGCTTGAAGTGACCCCTTCTGAAGAGGTCGATTGGCCTCGCCAAAACAATAGGAACGACAGAGGAGGAGGTACAGGCACATCCTCGGGATGGGGAGGAATGATGGGGTTGACTCAACGTCCATTGCGCACTCGAGTTGGTCACCCTGGGGGCCGTAACCGGCAGACTCGTGCTGACGCACAAAACCCTGCCATGTCTAATGACCCCCGTCAACGGGGAGCAGCCCGGCCCACCCCACCGCCCGCTGCTGTCACACCTGTCAGCCGGGCGGACACCACGAGCGCTGCCAGTACTGTGTACAATGTACATTACCATCCTGTCTCTAGCCCTACACCGCCGGTCGCTATGCCGCATATGGAGGAAGAAAACGAAGCCGACGACTATGGCGATGTTGCCGGCAAGGAATTGGAAACCGCCGTCGAGGAGCATCGATCGAATTCGGCCCATGAGCGCATATCAGCGGAGCAGACCAGGGAAGAGTCGCCCCAGATTATCAACGTGGACGACCGATGGCGGACTATACTCAACCCCTTCAGGCGCAGGCGTGCGTCTCTACCTAGGGAAGTTGCTTCAGCACAAGCAGAAGAGGAGCAGGAGGACCCTAGTAGAGATGGAGGTGAGTTAGACCAGGGTGAGCCTAGCGAGCAGGAGTTGTCGCGACCCGTCATCAATCGTCTATTCGCGCTCAATCGCAAACCGAGGCCCGGCTCTGGACGGCAAGGCTCTGATGCTCCGTTACCGGTTACGGTCATCCCCGCCAGGCGTCGAGGCCAGCACACATGGTCGCCCGAGTGGTTCACTGAGTCTAATCTTCTTGAACCATCCCCAGGTCAACGGCCCCGACCAAATCGCACTGATTTGCCGGTAAGGGTGATACAACCACAGACTCGCACAGCTGCGCCTTGGGCAACGCCCAACGAAGGAGAATTTGGCTATGGCAATTATGAATTACGTTATGACCCTGAAGCGGCAGCGCTTGTGGGACCTGGTGAATCTCATCCTTATCCGCAGTCGACCGATCATGCTTATCTTGATACAAATGTCGATCCCGAAAGACCCTCCGTTGCCGAACGGCATGGTCAAACTCAAGAGCTAGATCAATCTGCGCCTGAGCGGTTGCTATCACCACAACATCCTCAGCCGACCAATTCACCGAATGATAGTCATGCCACCACTGAAAATTCTAGACCTCGGTGAGGAATTCGAGGCTCATGTTCTAGTCCATACTTCCTTGGTGGACTGCGCATTTCATTTGTTCGGTCCGAGTTAGACGATTCATTATGATCCATATCGTCGATTTTCTTTCTCTTTACATTAACTTTTGACATATTCTTGATTTAGCGGGAGTATCGCTGGATGTATCTAATGGGAGTCTTGCTTTTCTCGATCTTATATTCTTTTTTGGTTTTTTTTTTTTTTTCTTCTGCGGAACTGGTACAGGGCACAGGCATAAGTTTATATGCGGTATTGGGAAAGGTCTACGGTTAACACACTGCGTTCCGAAGGTTTGAGCAAGGTTTTAATGCAGTGGCGAAAAGGGGGGTTTGGTGCACAAAAGATACCCATGGGATTTACGTGTCAAGATATATTTACTACCATTATATATGCTGTACATACTAATATGAATTCGTTGGTTGGGCTGACGCAACTTTTCCTCCGTAAGAGTCGGATAGAGAGATACTTGTGATATTAAGCCTAGCTTGACGAGGGGTTTAGTACGTACTTTGATCTCTCCCTAGTAAGTTTAAATTCCAGATTGACTTCTTGATTTGCTTAACCCCTGTACTAGTATCGCTCTTAAGCTACAGAGATTCTCGTATTATTGATACGGGCCACTAGTAGTCACTACTGGCTTACGTGGAGACTCTGCCTAAAAACCTCTATTGCATCACCAAAGATAAAAGAGATAGACATCGGGAGCGCCTTGAGGAAGACGGATCGAATCTGTGAAATTCCTCAAGTTGACCGAAACATAATTTGATCAAAAGTATGGAGTAATAGGGGAAACATTTTACATTTTGCGGAGGTGACCAGGGTCTCTTTGTGGCCTCATGAAAGTTCTTTGAGCTGATCGGCGCGGCTTAGCTTCACGAGGAAACCTTCGCGTGGTCCCAAGAGAAAAATAAGGCTCTCCACTCACATTTCTCCGCTCTCCGCCGACTGCCGTCATCGATCGATGCCTTACACTGTACAACGCAGTGCACTCCCCCTCCTGATTCGAATCACTCGCTAGTCGATGCAGCGACGACATCGCCTCTGGGCGTCGCACCATGGCGGCTGTCAATCGGAATATGTTTGACGCCAGCGTTACAACAGATCGACCGCGCGGAGCGTCGCTGATGGTTCTACCGTTGAATCTGATCGCGTTCATTATCTCCCACGTATGCCTCACTCGGTTTTTTCTGTGGAATACGCAAGAGACCAATCTAACTTTGACTTATTATCCTTACAGTTAGAAGATCCTGGCGATCTTGCTCGTCTATGTCGAACATGTCGAGTCCTCAACTACATGACGCTCCCGCAGCTCTACAAGAGCATTATCCTGACATCCTACGATAGGATCCGATACCGTGGGGATCAGCCGGAAGGGATGGGAAGCGCAAGCCCCTTCTCAATGGGTCTTAACGCTATCATCACCCGTCCGTACGCATCACTGGTTCGGTCGCTGACGCTTCGGGGAAGCTGGCGGGAGTCGGAGCTGGAAGAGCATGCGCGCATCGGTCGGGTGACAGATTCTTCCATGATGCTGAATATTGTGGTGCGGGCAGCCATCGACAAGATGAACGAGTTAGAAAGCTTTAGCTGGGAGCTCGATACCAAGATGTTGGAAACCGTCTACCTCGGGCTGGCGCAACAACCTAAGCTGACTTCGCTGACTATACGGTTCCCCTCGAGCCGTCACCCTCGACCAACGATCATCATACCCGCAATGCCTCATTTACGGCGCTTGAAAATCACCGATATTGACCCTCTCTGCTACCCAGACGACATTTCAACTCTGCTTTGGAAGTGTAAGAAGCTGCAAGAACTCAATCTGCACTGGTCACCTCGAATGAGAGAAGAGCAAGAGCCCAGCGTCATGGTCCATGACTACTTCCGCAAATGCATATCGGCAAAGCAACCTCTTCGAGTCAAGAAGATAGGGCTTCAGAATTTGTACGCTCTTCATACTGAAGAGTTCAATCTTGCGTTCGATCAGACCATGGTTGAAGATGTCACCATCCTTACCGATGCCAAATCAGACGACTACAACTTCATGAATACGTTTGTTGACAGTACCTGGCCGATTTCTCCGCCTCATGTCGTCCGGATCAAGGGCATTAGACAAGATCGTTTCACTAGGAGGCATGCGGACTTCCTAGGGAATTTTACTGGATTAGAAAGATTGTATTTTGTCAATGCCACGCCCAATCCAAACGATATGAGATCCCCCAGGCACTTGGAATACCCGGCCCCAACTCCACCTATGGTGGACCATAATACGCACAATCCAGGCAGTGCTCCAGCCTATACCCCCGCCACCACACCCTCCTGTTCTCCCGGATTGCAGGCCGGCATCCGTGATGCATACCTCAATAATATAATCGTAAACCACGCCGCAACTCTACGGCATCTCTTGCTCCCTTCTTACTGGCCGCTCTCATCAAATACGATTGCACGCATCGTTCACTCTAGCCCGCAACTTGAGCAGCTCGCTTTTGCAACAGAATTTTCCAGCATGGAGACACTAGGGCTACTGCTCCCATTCCTCCGTAAACTGGTTGCTGTGCGCCTTCTAGTCCCAACCGGTGCTACGTCGTCGCCGCAGACTCCACGGCCACCGAAAGCGAGCTTGGGACGCTTATCGTCATGTCCGGCGGAAGATGTATTTACATCCGCGTTATCTCTTGCAGATATCGTGGAAGCCAACGACGACATGCTCATCGAAAAGTTCTCTGAATCACTGGCGGATCCACAGGTATTCAGCCAGTTGAGGTTTTTTGGTTTCGGTTGGAAAGCATTCGAGCTGTTAGACTACTATACAATTTCCGCTGTCCCTCCCGCTGAGCGTACCGTCGAATCGCAATCACAATCCCCGGCCGATTTAGTGAGCGAGGAGGTCAATGGGTTCCGAGAGCCTTGCCAAAATGGATTGTCGCAGAAAGACGACGGAACAAGCGCCTCTAGTATCTTGACTCCAGCCCCGGTTTGTCAAACCCCGCCCACAGGGCCAGCACTGAGGACAAGCCAAGCTCCTTCACTGTTAGGCAAACGAAGGCGAGAGTATGAGCTGAACCCAGGAGCACCACCTAAGAAGAGCATGTCGAGCGAAAACCCCATAGAACTATCGGAATTCAACCCTTGCCTACCAACAACGCTCACGAATGGTCGTGTATGGAGACGACGGGTGCGACGAGTGGGCTGGGATGTTGTGAAACGCTACGAGATATGGGGCTTGGACACGCAAGAATTATGAACACTGTATCGTCACGGACGACTTTCGAACTGCACATATATGCTTTAGGGTTCCAGGATGGGAGGGGGCGTTGGTTGTTTTCGTTCGTCCCTGGTTTTTTATATGGGATGGGGTGAGTACTTTCATACGGGTTCTTATTGCACAGGGGGCTAACAGCCCATTTTGCAGGTTAATCTTGTGCATATATTAAGGCTATATAACTCTACATATTTTGGTCCGCGGAGCATAGTCGGTGTTTGGGACACGGCTGTTTCTCATCCGGGCTTCCTGCTACTGTCTGTCCAGGTTCTCGGTTTCGATTTCTTCATCTTTTTAAAGATATCCCTGTTCCGTACATCTACTGTACATTTAAAGGACATAACTCCACTATTACAATTAGATATAAGGATGTGTGAAATTAATACTGAAAATAACAGCTACTGAGGCTATAATCAGCTGTGCTTCTATCTGTAATTCCCCGTGGTGGGTTACTAGTTTACTACTTTAATATATACCTCAGAAAATAAACGTGATGAACTTTACTAAACCCCTAGGAGGCCTGTATTCAGGGCTAATCTTATTCCAGAGGCCGGAACTTATTTCCGTATAGATGCTAAACTGAAAATCCAAATTCTTCGATATTAAGTTCAATGCTAATTTACAGTCATATGCTTCTATAGAACTATAAATATTCTACTGCCTGCGGTTCCCCTCTGTCTGTATTAAGAGCAGGTGGAAGAATGTAAAATGTACGGGAAATTACATTAGCTGCCATCCCTTACTTCTCTTCGCGTTATATATGCAGTCTATGGCGATCTGAGCCTTAAGTCTCGCAACCTAATTGAGATCTCCTTCCATGCAAAACGTCAATTTTCCCCTTTAAAATCTAGGCTCATGCAATGAATTATCAATATTGACACATTATTCACAAGCTCAGAGTCCTCTCAACGAGTGATTTCTCATACCAGATGGCTTGGGTGACGCCCCATGAGTATAGGATTTTCACCACTTATTGAACTCAACGCAAACATGGATAGATAGTATATAGTCCGGTATGGAAAAGGGGAGGTGGAATGCAGGGTAGGTTACAGGATGAATTCCCAGATCTACTGAATAGATAGGGAGCTGGAATCTTTACCGGAAAAGGTTTTCCTTTTCAGCACTCATCTCATTTCATCTCATCTCATCTCTACCCCTTCTTATCTATATTCAAAACTTGGACCTTTTCCCTCTCCCTCTGTGTCTAGAGTTAGTCATCTTAATTATTTCTTTATGTAGTCTTTACTTTACGACTACCTCTCTTTAGAGTTAGCTCAAAACACACACTATGAACCTCCCAACAGCAACCACCTTCCTCCTCGCCACGCTCCCTCTCAACACATTCGCATGGAGGAATCGAAGGGTATGATGGAGAAGTCCTAGAGGGCGAAGCCAACGAAAGCCGTGCCTGCACGCTCCTGCATCATCCCATTCCTGCAAACTACCAGGTCAAGTACAATCTCGAAGAAGATGGCGAGGACTGTCAGGCCGTGCTTTCTACAACCGGGAGCTGTTCATTCGATAACGGTCTCCTGCTCACTGGTCTTTCTGGCTCCAAAGCTTATGATGGTTTGTTGAAATCCTATCAAGTCATATGGTGAGATATTCCTACTATAATTAGAGCTAGATCTGGTTGGTGTTTAGTCGGGCATGGCTAATTGGTTTTCTCGTATAGTGATAAGGAGATCGACAGGTCTAGGTTAAACGCAAGGGATTTGATTGATAATATTAAGGTAAAAATAGATAAACTGTGGGAGGGATTGTCCGGAAAGACCAATAAAGAACCAGCGCTAGGGATATTCGAAGAGCAGATGAAGGAAGAGGTAAGTGCACAGAAGGAACAGCTCAAGCAGTTATATAACAAACTTAAGTTAATCCTTGAGCACATTGCTTCTTAGGGCGTCTTTGACAAAATCAAAGAAAAATTTGGACAAGTCGAGGAATTGAAAAGGAAATAAACATGGTCTAATCGACTGCCAATGGTCTTAGCAGGTTATAACTCGATTACCTACGGTTTTCATCTCATGGTTCCATGAGTATGGTAAAAATTAGTGGTTAAATTCCTATTATATATACTACATAAAAAAAAAAAAAAAAAAAAGGACATACGTGTGGGTATATCCATAGTATCCTCAAGTGTCAAAGTCATCTTGTAAAAATTCATGTGGAGCTATAGACTTATTTCCACATCCATTAAAATTGAGAATACGCGGGTTTGAACAAAAATTTCCAGGGTTTGATGCCTTTTTTTTTTGTCTCCTGAAACTTCTTTCGGGGGATAATCTTCACTTGGGCGGTTTATATTCCTTTTCTTTTTTCTTTTATTTTCCTTTCCCTCTTGTATATATTTAATCTAAATTTTATTTCTCGTGCACTCCATTTTACTTTCTACATGATTCAGCAGCAGAAGTTCAAGATCTAAACCTTACGGAACTGTTTAGTTCCTTAAGACAATTTGATTTCGTTGACCATGATCGTGATCGTAAGGTACGTTAACTCAACATTGTGTGGCATATCGGAGAATGAAGGGGTGAGACTTGAACAACGTCCAGAGAATGCCACTCGTCTTTTTTTTATCACTCAGACTGACTTAAGCAGCCAGTAAAGACACTACCGTACTCCACAAAGAATCATAGGCTTGATACGTGTCGAGGTTGCTCATATATGTATGGCTGGAGATACTGCGCAGCTGCGTGATCAACGTCGAAAGGTCGGTATCGGACGGGATACCGTAAACCATGGTAGCGAAGCGACTCAGATCCAGTCCCTTGATCTTCTCAAATTCGTTGGCCGAGTATGCGGACTGGAACTCACTGTATGCAGACTCGAAAATGACAGTAGAATCGGGAATATCAAGGTAGGATTCGTCAGGTACTGCGCCGGGGTTTGTGACAATCTATATAGGTTAGTTTATTCAGTTTAGTACTATGTAAGGACTTAACGTACGTAGTTGTCAGGTCCAAGTCCGTCACTTTGCTTGATGGTCGAAGCCAGGTTCTTATAGTAGGTGACGGTATCAGCGTTGTAATCCGTGGCAGCTTCGTCGAGGAAGATGCCATGCACTGCGAAGGAAGATTTTCCACTGGTAGATGGCCATGCGGCGTAGGTCTGGATGTCCTTTTCGACCTCGGAGATGTCTCGAGTTCCTTTCTGAGTGCTCACATAGCCGAGGACTAGGGCGTTGCTGTAGGAGGCGAGTCTGGGCACTGCCGTAAGGAAGTTCTCGTCGGAGGCAGTGCTTGAGCCAGGGCCATTATCGGGATTGATGATGACGGTGAATTGAACATCGGAATTGGCAACGATCCTGGCTTGGTTAGGTTCCCTGATATCGGCTTTGTTGGAGATAGACTTACAGTTCTTCCAGGGGCGTCCATGCGCCGGTTGATGGGTACAGATAGTACGGGATGATAACCTTTGCCTTTGATGTGCTGCTACCTGACGAAGAGGCAGAGGCAGAAGTGGAGACAGAGGTGGATGCAGACGCAGAGGTAGACGCAGAGGAAACGGTGACGACAGAGGTAAAGGTGGAGCTGGAGCTGGAGCTGGAAGTAGTTACAGGGACATCGGAAGCCGGGATAACCGTGGGAGTAATGATGTTCAGCACCGTTGAGCTAGCATCGATGTCTTCAGCAGCCAAAGTCGTTGTGACCACCGTCGTTGTGGTCACTGTCACTGTGGCAGATGGAGCGCCTGCTGCACAGGCGCTAACTGGCGGAGCAGGTTGATGGAAGCCTCCAGGGCTATGTTGGCTATGTCGGTGACCATAAGGAATATGCGCAGCATATGCCTGCTGAGACAAAAGCGATATGCAACCCAATGCACCCACAAGGATAGTCGAGGGATTGTTGAAGAGCATATTGAGAAGTGAAAGATTCAAGAAGGAATGACTAGAGCTAATAGAAAGAAAGGAATGAAGGAGCGACTGATTGTCTATCGAAGAAATCAACGCTTACCAGAAGCTGTCGGATTGAAGGAAGTTCAAGAAAGAAATCATAACTTATAAGCAGACTGAAGAGAACTTGATCCAGTCGGATCTGACTAGTTAAGCGAGTCGATCTGACCTTCCCTAATTCCGACAATGTGATACAATAAGTGATCCTGAGTCCCACTTTTTTATATTATACCCGATCAAGCCAACTTAATCTTTATATACAACTCAAAATACATACTATGCAGAATATTATATATTAGAATTGAATTTTTTTTTTTTTTCTTTTTTAGAAAGGAATTACTTCCGATATGTTACGATCTTTTTAACCCAACTAATCTAAGCATAGTATATAGAGTATCTGTATTAGGTTGTGTATAGACATTATAGAAGAAAGTGGATGGATCGCAAACCGTCCGAATTAGGAAAGGTTAGATCGACTCGCTTAACTAGTCAGGCCCGGCTCATAGCGAATCACGGTAGTTCTTCTCACTACCGTGCGGATTTGCCGGGCTTCCATCAGTGTCTAGACCCAGATCCTCATCCTCGATGATGCTGAAGGAGTCATGCAGAGGACTCAGCGGGCTTGAGGAGGGAGTAGAGGTTGCGGAACTCGGAATTTGAGTGTTGGATACTATGATAGATGAATGTCTGCCATTGATGGTTGGACGTCCACCGAAGGTCTCGGGGGGCTTTTAGAATGAGATTGGCCGTAACGGGTACGTTGGGTTTGTAATACAGATAACCAGGATAGGAGTCCTTGGGCCTTCACTACAGGTGCTAAGGTAGTTGTGCAGTGAAACTGGGGGAGAGTACATCACTATAGGCTGCACCTCTAGATTACCTAGTCGAAAGCTGGAAACGGGTTGCGCAGTATTATGTGCTTGTCTGTCCAAGTTCTTGATTTTATCTTCTTCAATTTTCAAGATATCCTGTTTCATACACGTTATGTAGTATTCAAGGTCACAGCTCTGTAAATTACCATCCACAATCCAATCTTAGCTCACATTTCATTCTACATCTCAAGAATGAAAAGAAAAGGTCACAACGGCACGGAAAATATCCCAAAACAAAGCTGCAGATAGCCTAACCTACGCCCTGAGGGCTCTGATAGACGCTATACATGTTTATATTTCTACTAAGCGGTCTAGTATACGTCGTTCACATTTGCAATATTAGCTGCTAGGGGTTTGGCGAACGGTTCCTTCCAGGTACCAGATGTCATTATATATAATGAGTACTACACGTCATAAACCCAGACGAATGCAAATTAATATACAATTGATTCGGCAATAGAACACTTTCTTATAAATTTCTGAACCACATTTTTCCATTTCTTTTTATCCTGACCGAGATTTTATTTGCGAAAGGAGATCCTCGTTATCTTGGAGTTTAGGTCTGGTGGCCAAGAAAGGGCTTACGGCTATTGAGTTTAAGCTTGTTTACGAGAAGTTTATGTTCTGAACGGGAGGCATTTTCTTGATTTTGGTTTGTGTTTCTTGGGACCTGTTAAAGGAGGCTTGTTCGAATGTTTCTGCATTGGGATCGTGGCTTTGGTACTTCTGGTCGTAAGATTCCATGATTTCCTGACCTTGGTAGTAAATGGATTTTCTTGTTTGCAAAGTTTCGTGTTCCAGACTTGATATAGGTTGACGTGATGTCCTGGTTACAACACGCAGAGGAAGCATATATATCTGAGGCATTGTATATACTTGCAAACTCCTTCCAATGATTTGCTCAGGGCTCGACTATAGCCTTCAGATGCATTTGGTGGAGCCTAGCGTTTTCTACACTCACTAGATTGGTGTACGTTGTCTCCTATATCTTCTTCAGTTGGGGTGACTGGAATTGGATCAGACATTAATGTCTCCGGATTCGGATGTAATGTGAGGCAGTTAATATTGAGAGACAAAGTTTGGTTTCGAGAATTGAGGCCGGCCTCTCACACCGTATCATCGATTTGCACATCTCCGCAGCAATGACCTATCTGTTCAGAAGCCGAATTCTGGGTATACCAAAGAAGTATGGCGAAAGTCGCGCTGGCCACCGGTGGTGGTGAGTTTGACAGGATACCAGAATATGCATAAACTTGGGACAGCCTATCTAATGTTATCTTCCACAGTTTCTGGCATAGGCCTTGCCGTCTGCAAGTCACTTGCAACCCAAGCTTCGCAGATCGCTGTGGTGGACGAAACCCCCTACCGGGGAGAGTATCACCGCATAGCTGAATGGCATATTTGCCCTCGCGAACGTCACCGTCTATGATAGTGCTGGGCAGGCTTTCGTGGCTGTATGGCAGAGATATGTTCGACTGGATTCTAGTGCATCTACATTTACTTCCTTCTCTGCATGTCGCTCAAGCTGCATGTTTATCGTATGATTAGGCCTCGCCAATGCACAAAAATTAGAGAGCAATTGATTCCTCACTAGCACTTCAATGAACGAGGATGGGTTACCACCATGTCCAGGAGTTAACTAGATACATGTGAATCTGGTTGGCGTGATCTACACCAGCTACCTAGCCGTATACTTTTCTCGGAAACAGGACAATATTATTCCAGAATGGCTGATAATGTCATGGTTTCGCCGGCGTGTCCCTGGGGTATTTTGCTCCCGTCCACACCGTGTCAAGGCACGGTGTCTTTGTATTCATGCGATCCATAGCCCAGCACCTTTCCTGGACAATGGAATCCTCGTCAATTAAATTAGTGCAGGGTTGTCAAAATCAGGCTGATGAGTGAAGAGATATCGGAGCCAGATTCCGGTCGAATGCATGACGTCCACCTAGCAGATAGTGGACGTGATTAATTCCCTCCTCCGAGACAAATCATATGGACATGTAGTGGAGATTCTTGGTAATAAGACGTACGTTAATGATGGGCCTCCGATTCAAAACGAGCAATTACAGAAATTTGGTGCCATCGCGGAGCGAATCCAGATTAGCTCCGAGTAAAATAATCTTCAAGTATGAATCCTTGCCGTCGGCGGTCCGTCCATCAGGCTATCAGTGTGTAAGGGTTTTCGGGAAATGCAGAAGTGGAGCGGGATTGCTAGCCCCGACAGAATATATTGGATTGTGAGACAAGCATCTGACTAACTTATCCCGAGATAAACGGTTCGCTATTAGATAATAGTAACGGTTCTTATTTTGAACTGTTGAAAGAACTAGTGCGCTCGTCATTGTCTACTAGTGTTGTGCATTATCTCGCCATTGTTCTTGGTATTTGGTCCCTGCAGAAGTCGTTATCCGAGGGTAATATGGCGGTGGGAGCCAAACAAGAAACGGCGTCTTTCTTAAGTTAGTCAAGCTAGCTGCAGATGGTATATGGATGGCCCGTGTTCCTATTGCTATCAAGTGCGTCATATAGCCTTGTCGCACTAGGCTAAGTATTATTTATATAAAAGAATTGAGTAACATGAATATATAAAACAAAACCACTCGAGGACCACTTAGAGCATACTTTCCCTGCGGGTATACCATTCATTCGGTTCAACTGAACGGCAGACACGACTTCCAGGGAAACTCTCCACAAGAACAATTGAGTTATAGGTCGATTAGGATATTGAATACTATCCAGTATTAAGCTCAAACTCTGTCCATAGGCACCCCCGATAAGGCAGGTACCAGCAGGGAGCCATGGACTGATTTCGTTGATGATTGAGCCGCTTATCACCGAATCCGTCGGTGATCGACAACCCTAACCATTAGGAGCTTTCCTGTCAGTCCACCCAATCCGCTTGCCCCGTCTTCTCTGCATGCTAAGTGGAGAGCGACCAAAATCAGGTCGGGCGCGGTGATTTGCCCGAATTCAGCATGGCATTGGCCCTCATCATTTAATTGTGAAACCTGGTTGGGTTGTCGAGAACAGTGCCTTGGTGAATGGAGACATTCTGCTTTTTCCTTAGAAATCGAGAAATTGAGTATCTCGTGATAAGGAGGGTGGGGAATTGACGAGTGGTCGCAGGCAAAGTGACATCGCTCGAGTTTAGTGAGGAAGGCTGAGGGCGGCTGCTGATACAGCGACCAGAATCTCACCGTGCGTCTGATATGACAGGGACATTGGCTGTCTCAGTTTTATGTTTTTATGGATTTCATAATTCTGAGATCATGGGAACCCGGATAGAAAATTCTATTCTTGTGCAGACTGTAGAAAATCCGGTGTAAAATAGAATGAATAGTACGTAGTGGATTATGTCGAGATATCAGATGTTCGTTCAGGGACAAACGGTGATCTTCAGGACTCCGACGGTTCGTCTCCATAAAAAGATTTGATGGCCTCGTGTCTAAGGCACCGCCGCCCATGTGATGGAGGAAGTTGTTGACCTCTCGACTAGTCAAGACTAGGACTAGTATGGAAGTATAAGGGACACAGCCAATCAGAGATCCATACAGTACTTTTACCCCAAGTCGAGGTTAAGCGTGGGTCCTTCTTTCCCCTCCCAATTTCATTTCCTTCAATCATCGTTCGGCCTTCCTTCGGTCCTTCTCACAGGCTCCCAGACAGATTGGTTGCACTGATGACTTGATCACCATCTTCACTGCTCTTGGGCCTTCTCGACCCGGGTACCCCTGCGCCTTCCCCCCTCCTCCAATACTACACCAGTCCGGGTGAATGGCGATCGCCGGACCGATATCGAATGGGCGATGGATGTCGTCCTTTACACAAAACGGAGATACCCGTCTACTTCAATTAATCTGCGATATGGAGGTGGAGATCAGCAGAACCAGACCAGACATCTTGTCCTAAACAAGCAATGGCCATTTCCGCCGTAGCATCCGGGACCAACTTGCCTTTGCCAGGGTCGAGACATGGGGCAGAGTGCTTGTTCCTCTCACCTAATCAGCTCACCTTTCAGGTACACTCGTCCATTGGGATCTTGGCGCCAACGCACTTGCTATCTCTTCTTACATCGTAGTGGATGAGCTTGTAACTGGGCCAAGAAAGCTTACTGGATGACAAGGATCTTCGTCGCTCCATGCCTAGACGAGAAACACTGCCTTGCGCTGCTGATGTGGACCGCGTCTCTCCTGAACCGGAGTCCGTTGATTATCACCACTGCTACCATCATGATGTCCACCAGTGTAGACAAAGCTATAAAGGAGCGCCTTCCAGCTGCCCTGAGTAGCTCATCACTCTCTCATCCTCTCCAACAAGAGTCTGAGTTCTTCTAGGCTTGTGCTTGTCATTCTTTCACTTCTAATCTAGTCTTTCGCTCCTTTTCTGTCTTCTCGACATATCGCCTAGAAAGCAATCACCATGGTTGTCTTGAGCAAAGTCGCTGCCGTCGCGGTCGGTCTCTCCACCGTCGCCTCTGCGTTGCCCACCGGCCCCTCTCACTCTCCCCATGCTCGTCGGGGATTCACGATCAACCAGATCACCAGACAGACTGCCCGCGTCGGTCCCAAGACCGCCAGTTTCCCCTCAGTCTACAGCAGGGCCCTTGCCAAGTATGGCGGTACTGTGCCTGCGCACCTCAAGAGCGCTGTTGCCTCGGGTAGCGGTACTGTCGTGACTTCTCCCGAGCCCAACGACATTGAGTACTTGACTCCTGTCAACATCGGCGGTACGACCCTGAACCTCGACTTTGACACTGGCTCGGCCGATCTGTGAGTAATAGGCAGTTCTCCACATTTTGGAAAATGCTCGACTAATGGTAATCCAGCTGGGTCTTCTCCGAGGAGCTCCCCAAGTCCGAGCAGACCGGCCACGATGTCTACAAGCCTTCCGGAAACTCCACCAAGATCGCTGGTGCTAGCTGGGACATCAGCTATGGTGACGGCAGCAGTGCCAGCGGCGATGTTTATCAGGACACTGTCACCGTGGGCGGCGTCACTGCCCAGGGCCAGGCCGTCGAGGCTGCCAGCAAGATTAGCGAGCAGTTCGTTCAGGACAAGAACAACGACGGTCTCTTGGGTCTCGCTTTCAGCTCAATCAACACTGGTAAGGCATCCTTCGGTTGCACAACGTCGATGACTGGTGTTGGCTAACAAGGACTACAGTTAAGCCCAAGCCCCAGACTACGTTCTTCGACACCGTCAAGGACCAGCTGGACTCCCCCCTGTTCGCTGTGACCCTGAAGTACCATGCCCCTGGCTCCTATGACTTCGGCTTCATCGACAAGAAGAAGTTCACTGGTGAACTCGCCTATGCCGATGTGGACGATTCCCAAGGCTTCTGGCAGTTCACTGCTGACGGTTACTCTGTCGGAAAGGGCGACGCCCAGAAGGCCCCCATCACGGGTATTGCTGGTGAGTTTCAATCTAAATGCAAATAGATCAGGTCTGGATATCTACTAACACATCTCTCCAGACACCGGTACCACCCTCGTCATGCTCGATGACGAAATCGTCGACGCCTACTACAAGCAGGTCCAGGGCGCCAAGAACGACGCATCCGCTGGAGGCTACGTCTTCCCCTGCGAAACTGAGCTCCCCGAGTTCACCGTCGTGATCGGCTCCTACAACGCTGTCATCCCCGGCAAGCACATCAACTACGCCCCTCTCCAGGAGGGCGGCTCCACCTGCGTCGGCGGTATCCAGAGCAACTCTGGCCTCGGCCTCTCTATCCTGGGTGATGTCTTCCTCAAGAGCCAGTACGTCGTCTTCGACTCCCAGGGTCCCAGACTCGGCTTCGCCGCCCAGGCTTAAATGCCCGACTAATGCGGGCTTCGTGCTCTAATGCACGACCGAACTCTAATGAACCGACCCCCTAGCGGGTGATCTGGCTCGTTGTTGGAGATGAGTAATTTGATCTACCGATGTATCTATTTCTTCTTGTATATGGTGGCTTTGATTTATGAGAGATGGTTTGGAATGCGGGACATGTTGATGGATGATTGCGGCTGTCTTTCTTGGACCTCTGTATATATGACCACGTCGATCGTTACGCGAGAGGGCAGCTTTCAATTACATAACACAATCCATCCTATTATACACACTATCCCATTCATGGATACGAATCTACTAGACAGATACAGGGATAGCTCCGTAATGCAATTGCATTGAATCCCAAGCAGGTCCCGTTTCAGATATAATCCACCAAAACTCTATCTACCACCCCAGCCCTACAAATGCTACAGTGCAACAATCAATGACATAACTCAATCTATGTCCTGAAACAGAGACATACAGACTCGGAGAGCACTCCCTCAACATCACTCCATGTCTATTACATTCTTGATCCCCTAAACCCCCACCCCTCACTCACACATACTTACATCCAACAAACCCCCTCCCTCATGCATAAGAAAAAAACACAAAAAGC